TGCATGTTCGAGGCGGACTCCCTCCTGCTCAGATTTCACGCGAGCTTTGGCGAGCTTGGAGAAGGCTGGTGGACAATCTGGTAGGCGGATTCGCTGCGAGACGTAGTGAACTTCACAAGAGAACATGTGACGCATCCCTTCTTGGGAGACTCCAAGTCAACGACTGAGATGGCACCGTGATAGCCTGTGTCTGCAACACTGGTACAACGAATCGCATGAAAGAGTTCAGATGACTGAAGAAACTGTCAGTCAGCTGTTGACTGTTTGCTTTGTACTCTCACACCTTTCCACGGTGGAAAAGGCTGGACGGGAGAAAGCGTGCAGCACCTGCCGGCCAGGTACGTGTTAGCTCGAGTTAGCTCGTTCAGTATGAGATTGCGATGGTTGTGCAGCAAGTTGTCCAGACATGCTTCCCTGGTGCTGGCAGGCTGGAGAAGCTTCCGGCCGGCAGTGAAGTTGCAGTTACTACTTGCTGCAATCTTCAACGCTTTTGGTTCGAGGCACTCCAGAGTTCTGATTTGTGTAGGCTGTGTAAGCTGGCTGTGCAGGTGCCCGACCTCAAACTTTATTCTTCGCCGCCACTACCGCGAGTCTTCCTACTCGAATCTCATATGTACGTAAGAATCATGAGTTGCTTCGCACCCCGAGAACAAGTTCAGCTCCAGCCGAGGACTGGTATGCCGAGATGATGAACGACGTGCCTCGCAACACAGCGTTTGAGGCCGCCATTCGAAAAGTCATCGGCGCAGCCCGCCAGCCAAGTGGGGCCTGCCGCGACACATGGCTGATGGTTGAGGTTATCAGTGAACCCTCAAGCTCTGCCTGGTACTCTGATTTGCGTAAGGTCATTGACCTTGGCTGCGGCGCTGGGGTGCTATCGATGCTCGCGCTGCGAGCAGGCTCGGCATGTTGTTCAGCTCACAGCGAATCTGCTTCACTACTGCAGGAAGCATGCTCGCTCCAAAGACTTACACTGACTAGGGAGTGCAGGTGCCACGGAAGTGCTCGGTGTGGACCACTCGCCGCACCTGGCGCGATGTGCACGGCGGGTTTTAGCCCATGAGGACAAGGCACCAGGGCTAGGGGAAATGCGTGTGCGTGTTTTTCTTTTTCTCTCGGTCGTGTATTCCTCGGGCTGTGCGACGTATTGCGACGTCGCAAGCTGTGTATATCTATAATCTATATCCATATCCTCCCAGTGGATGACTGTAAGTTTTCAACAGTGAGCCGCTTCATCCCGCCTGCGGCAAGCACTGTCCTGTGCCTCGTGATCCCTTGCAGCATACCTGCATTTGCAGGTCAGTGTGTTGTGTGGTGACATTCGCACGGTCTCTGTCGCGGAGGAGGACCTGCACGGGTTATAGTTATGGCTGAGAGGTTTGGGGGAGGTCAGCCAGACTTCGATGGCACCAGAGTGACCAGAGTTGCAGCGTGGCCCTGACATCCAGAACGTGGCAGGACCGCTTTGACGTGGTCGTGGCAGAACTCTTAGATGCTGGTGGCCTTGGCGAGAAGATCATCCCGTTCCTTCGCCATGCCAAAAGCAGGCGGCGGCGAAAGAGAGTCAGGAAGAAGATGGGGTAGTGGGTGTGCCTCCTGCGAGGCTGCTTCGTCCGGGTGGCTATTTGGTGCCCCGCGGCCTCCGTGTCCGGGCCTCCCTTGTGGACGCCCGTCTTCCTCAAGTCACGGCCCGTGCCGCGGGGGTCACCACGGAAGTGGACCTCTCGGCCTTTGACCCCTTCTGGCTGCCGGCTCGCGCGGAGCGAAGCGAGTGGCTTGGCATCGACCTGGATGCTGGCTGCGACTGGGAGCAGGCATCGGATGTTGTGGAGGTGCTCTGGCTGCCCCTTGGCTGTCACAGCCAGAAGCCCTCGTGTCGTGTTTCAGCTTTAGAGGACATGACTAGCATACTACCCAACGTTTCAGAGGACATGGCTAGGGAACTCGAAGACGAATTCCCGAGACCGCGAACATATCGGAGACAGAGTGTTTCCTTCAGCCCGAGCCCCCGCTGCAAACCATCAGCAACACGTCAGTCCTGGCAACCCTCGGCCGGCCTTGCTCAGAAGACATCTCGTCGCCTGACAATCATAGCTTTTGTTCGGAGGATGAAGACCTAAACCATCCGAAACCATCCTAAACTTTAAACCCAAAGCAAGCATGAAGCAACCCCGGTTGCATGGAAGGAACTTCCAGGGCTCCCAGGGAGAGTTGATCGAGGCACTCCAGGACCGAAAAGCTTCGGAGCTCTTCGACCTTTTGCGGTTTAGGGGTTTATAGGGCCTACAGGGTTTAGGGTTTGCAGGGTTTAGGGGTTTTAGGGTTTAGGGTTTATGGAGTTCAGGGTTTTAGGGTTTGTAGGGTTCATGGGGTTTAGGGTTTATGGAGTTCAGGGTTTTAGGGTTTATAGGGTTTATAGTTTATGGAGTTAAGGGTTTTAGGGTTTATAGGTTTTTTAGGGTTTATAGGGTTTAGGGTTTATGGAGTTCAGGGTTTTAGGGTTTGTACGGTTCATGGGGTTTATGGAGTTCAGGGTTTTAGGGTTTATAGGTTTTTTAGGGTTTATAGGGTTTAGGGTTTATGGAGTTCAGGGTTTGAGAGTCTATAGGGTTTATAGGGTTTAGGGTTTATGGAGTTCAGGGATTTAGGGTTTATACGGTTCATGGGGTTTATGGAGTTCAGGGTTTTAGGGTTTTTAGGGTGTTTAGGGTTTATAGGGTTTAGGGTTTACGGAGTTCAGGGTTTCAGGGTTTATAGGGTTCATGGGGTTTATGGAGTTCAGGGTTTTAGGGTTTGTAGGGTTCATGGGGTTTATGGAGTGCAGGGTTTACGGAGTTCAGGGTTTTGGGGTTTATAGGGTTTATAGGGTTTATGGAGTTCAGGGTTTGAGGGTCTATAGGGTTTATAGTGTTTAGGGTTTATGGAGTTCAGGGTTTTAGGGTTTGAGGGGTTTAGGCTTCCATGGAGTCCGAGTCCCCGGATGCCCCGTGAGGAACGTGAGCTCCGGTTTCCGCTGTCGGGGACCCGGCGAATCAACGCCGTGGCCTGGTGGTTTGAAGCGGCAGCGTGCCAGCATCCGATATTACGGGGTTTAGGGCTTAGGGGTCTAGGTCTTAGGGTTCTAAAGTATCAAATGTCATGTATGGCTGTGATGTATATCTGGATGTGCCCAGGATCTGGGAATCGGCGAAGAAGGACACAACGCCCAAGAAAGCCGAGATTATTGGCCTTTTGGCGAAGGGCTCGTGAGAGCCCCTCTTAGGCTTAGCCCTTGCGTGAGGAGCTTGTGACCTGACCAGTGCTCCGAGCCGGTGTCGACCTCCGAACTGCGGTGCCACGCACTGGGCATCCCGGCCCGAAGACTAAATGAAATCTTTAAGCCCTAAACCTAAACTTTTGAACCATTCTTAGACACCAAAATGAGATTGTAGGACAAAAGCTCTAGCACTTAGGGCAGAGGTTTGCGCACTTTCTTTGATGTGTGCCTCAGGTCCAGGCGCTGGCAGGCTTGGTTCATGTCATGCTGTCTGGCATCATTGCTTCTCTTCGCTGAGTCCGTTCTTTCGTGAAGGCATTGGGCCTTACGATGCTCCGGACGGTGCCTCTGCACTCCGAGTTCGCGTCCGCACCGATGGCGTGACTTTCACCTGGACTCCTGTGGGCTTCGAACCTGCCCAGGCCCCTCAGAGCAGGTGAAGCTGATGACCCTTCTCCGAGCGAGCAATGTGCGTGCACCCTAAACCCCAACACCCTAAGACCCTAAACCCCCAAGCCCCTAGGCCCTAAACCCCAAAAACCCTATAAACCCCTCACCCCCTCAACCCCTCAACCCCTAGACCCCTTTGGGTTTGAGGTGCTACCGGAAGCGCCCGAAGAGTCCAGTGACGTTGCCGCCTGGCGCTCGGAGCTCGCTGAGGCCTCGCGGCAGCTCCAAGGCGAGACTGTGCCACACTGTATTGGGGTTTAGGGGTTTAGGGGTTTCAGGGTTTTTTGGGTTTTGGGGTTTGGGGTTTTAGGGGTTTAGGGGTTTAGTGGTTTGTGGGTTTGTGGTTTAGGGGTTTAGGGTTTATTAGAGTTTAGGTTTTTGCTGTGAACGGGTGTTCTCTCCTTATGCCTGCCCTGCAGACCTGGAGAACTCCTTGGACCGCATTGGCGATGTTGCCCGCCTGCAGGCCCGAGAACATGCGAAGCTTGAGACTGTTCCAAGCCTGCTTGGCCTGGACGAAGAAAAGTACGATACTACAGCGTGCTACAACACACAATCATATACTACAGTATACAATCTAGCGTACTATAATGATATACTACACTCTACTATCCAACGTACCAGAATATACTAATATACTACACTATAGAATCTAGCGTACTATAGTATACTTCTCGAAACTATCCAACGTACTAAATTATACTACACTGTCCTGAATGTACGAACTATAGTGAGCATTACTATGGGAGTTTCCGAACATAGGGGACCCTAATATAGTACCCTAAATAGTAGGATCCTTATAATGAGGTCACCAAAATAAGGTAACCCCAATTTTCGGAAACCCTAAACCCTAAACCCTAAACCCTAAGCCCAAAATAAGGTACCCCTAATTTTCGGAAACACCCATAATATGCCAAAGAGGCCTTGCAGTCGGCAGCTCTTGCCCTCGCAGCGCAGCCAGGCATGATCGGCCTCGAGGCGGGAAGACCAAAACCCCGCAACACCACTCTGAACCAGCATAACCTCAAATTATGGATAATTGAGTATAACATCGCATTACTGAGTATAACCTGCTAGAGTATCATGTAGCGTAGTATACTACTAAAGTTTTTTCGTCTAATAGCATATGATAGCCTGCCGTTTCCGGCAAGGCCACTCCGGATGTGGTGGCGCGATTGCTGAAAGGACTCTTCGTTTGAACGAAAAAGGAGTACAGTTCCGTCACCCGGCAAGCGTGCTGGCAGACAGAGGACGTGACTCGGCAGAGACAGTCTGCAGTTTTTGCGGAGCTTAGGTGCCAACTGTTGAGAAAGCCGGTGCCTCAGGCCCCGGCGTGCTTTTCAAGGCTTGTGTGGTGTACCCGAAAGGATCCAACTAAAATTATGGCAGGTACTTAGTAGGTATTCAAGCCCCAAAAGTATATACTCTACCATTACTTGGACCCTTTGGGGTACCTCTGAGCCAAGGAGGGGTTTAGGGTTTAGGGCTTCAGGGCTTTAGGGTTTAGGGGTTTTGAGTACTTCTGGGCCAAGGAGCTTGCCGCCAGTGGTGGGGTCTCGCGGAATGCGGCTCGTGGTGGGGTCTGGGGATCGACCTTGGAGGCCTGGGATTTCACAGGGTTTAGGGTTTAGGGTTTAGGGGGCTGTGTCCGTACTGATGAACACTGGAGTCTTTGCATGAAGATGGAGGAGGCTTTCATGTCCTTTGCCGCCAGCCGCGGCACTTTCTCGGCAATGCTATCTAACTCGCTTCTCCTTGACCTGGGGGCTTGGGCTTGGGTTTCAGGAAGTAATTGTCATCCGAAGCACTTGCAGTGCCTTCGCGGCCGAAAGTGATCGGAAACTCCCTGCTTCGCTTGAAAGTCGCATGTCTACACAACTTCATCTAAGATGTGGCTGCGGAAATAACCTTAGACAAAGCATCAATTCTGCAGAAATCCTTTGGGGAGGCCGAGGAAGAAGTGAAGTCGGAAGCCGCTGCATGGCGCGACGGCGTGGACTCCTCAGCTCCCTGCGAGGGCCATTCGTCCAAAGCTAGCCCTCCAGCAAGCCTTCTTGAATCTTGGGCAGAAACCCTAAACCCTAAACCCTAAACCCTCCACCCCCCAATTTCCTCAGGTCTGCAACTACCTCTCCGGGCCGTGCGCAGCTCTTCTGGGAGGAGGGAGGGGAAAACTGAGGGAAGTAGGGGGATCAGGGGATCTCTTGCTTTCAAAAAGACACAACCGCGCCTATCAGCTTGGGAAGAGAAGGTTCAGCTTTGCAAGACTGGGGGGCCAGGTGTTTTTCATGTCGTGGATGCCCGAGACTTCGTGGGACCCTCGGTCTGTTGGGCGTGGGAGCCCCTGGAAGCTCTACGAAAAAAGGATCATGGGACTTAGTAGTGATCCTCCAAGTACAACGTGTAATATGCATGACCTGGATGCTTGGCTTGCGTGGTCCATGTTTCTGAGTCTGCGTCTCTTAACTTGTGGTCCAAAAAATCTATCTTCGTCTAGGCGCAGAAGCTGAGCGCCGAGGCAGCCCCGTTCGCATCGCAAGGTGGATCATTGCCAGTCGTCGGGGGAGAAGTGCAGGTCCCGAGCCACTGCAGACCGGGTGAGGAGGTCTTCATCCAGCGAAGGCGCGCGGGAAGCTCACAGTATTGTATCAAGGTATGCCCAGTTCCAAGGAATCGCCGATCTGTTGGTTTTGTGCCTGGGATGATTCTTGCAATTAGGTGAAGTCGTACGTGCAGCTCAGCGGTCATAGTCCCATCGTCTCGGTGAAGAGGTTGGAGACCCTCCTGGCATCCAAGAGCCCATGGCTCCCGGCTGATGTCAGCCTGGCGACAGTTACTGTATCTCCACTGAAACGAATTGACTCTTCCTTGTCGGTTTCCTCGGCAGGATCGTCTTGTCCAGGCCGCCGCCCTGCGCCTGGGCCTCGGTGACGCAGCTGGGAGGCGGAGGCTCCAGCTAGGAGTTCCGCCCTTCCAACCATCGAGGTGCCCGCCCGAAGCGCTATGCCTCAGTCTTAGCTCTCTTTACGGGCCAGGGCCATAGCTGGAGCTGCAGCGGCTGCGATTCTTGCGGCGAGGTGCTGGTCGTGGCGGATTGCGCGCAGCTGAGCCTGGGGGGATCGCGAAGGCGCCCTCAGCCGCCAACCTAAGCGAAGGGCAACTCTTCAGAAGAAGCAGATACCACCCTGCAATCATGTAGTTCGCAGGACAGTCCGTGAGGTACGATCAGCGCAGCCGATCAGATGGTCTTTGCAAGGTTTCGATGTACTGACGATATGTGCACCCTATGACAATCAGCTCTGCCGACACAGCGCCTTCGGATTACAGCCGTGGAAACCTCACCCCCTTTCTAGCCCAACCGACAAGAGCACCCAGGACCCGCCGTCAGCAAAGGTCTATCAATCCGAAAGGCAGCTCTCCGAGTGTTCGCCAAATCCCCGAAACTTGGAAACTCCAAGCAGGCTTAAATTAACACCTTTGAAAGCTTGCTTCTGTATGTCAAACATCGGAGCGGGCACGTTGACGGGAAGTTTGTTCATGCAAGTTTTATGCCTCGCTTGTAAGACTCTTGCCCCGATATTTCGGTTCTGTAGAGAGTCAGGGCCTGAACGTTAAGATCGTGCTGAATGGCCTCCCTCCAATCCCAGCACTTCACATGCTGACGCAGGTTCCTGCACCAATTTTACGTCCTGCCCTTCGTCCGGATGCCCAGCTTTCCTCAGCCCTAAATCCTACACGCTATTAAAACCCCTAAAAACTTCAACCCTAAACCCGAAATCCTAAACCCTAACCCCCTAAACCCCTTAAACCGCTAAAACCCTCACGGGGCCGATGCTCGTTCCTGGGAGAGAGAAGACCCCAGGTAGCGCAGCAGCGCCGAGCCTTCCTCCGAGAGTCACTGCCTCAGTGGTTTAGGGTTTAGGGTTTAGGGTGTAGGGTTTAGGGTTTAGCCCTACCTTTTTAGGGTTCCTTTGGTGTTATACAAAGTTCCTTCAAAAGGTAGGTGTTTTCGGGTACAGGTAGTAGTAACAGTCGTATTCAGAATACTAATTATGGGGTTTAGGGCTTAGGGTTTAGGGAATCTTAATGCTGATATTCAATAAGATATGTACAACCATATCTAATACAGGGGTTCTTTCATACTGCTGCTACTCGACTCGTTCTTGGAGAGGAAATGCCTCTGAACGCCCAGGAAGCTGCTTCAGGAGGTTCGGATCTCAGAGGCACAAGCTGCGGGTTTGTCGGAACTTGCAGCGGTCAGCCGAAAGGTTTCCGCAGCAGCAGAAGCAATTCAAGGGGAGCGCCCATCCCAGATCAGTCTCAAGCTCGGGCAAGTAGATGCAGTTTGTTGAAATGGGAGTTTCCAAAAAATAGGGGTACCTTAGTTTGGAGTCCTTATAATAAGGATCCTACTAGATTAGGGTCCCCTATTTTCGGAAACTCCCAAATTACCCCAAACATCCCTAGACCCTAAACCCTAAAGCGGGCAGGTGTGCTGCTGGCAGATTCGGAGCAATTCTACCACAGCTGGGAGTTCTGGAGGCGTTCTATAAGGCTTACTGACTGTAGGGGGATCTATTACTTGGAGGATCATGGGACTTAGTAAGTCAGGTTCTAAGTACCTTAGTTGGGATTATAAGTAGTTACAAGTACAGTTACCCGAATTATAACCCCAGTTACTAAGTCCCATGATCCTTTAAGTAGTTAGCATTTACCGTTTCCATTTTCAACCATGCCCCACCCCCTAGCACCCAAACCATAACAACCTATACCTCATCCCTAAACTCACCCAAAACTCATAGGTAGAACCCTGGAATGACTCACTAGAAGACCCAAAACCATAACAACCTATGCCTCAACCATAAACTCACCAATATATACCATGGGAATAGCCCTCAAGACCCTCATAGCAAAACCCCTACCTCAAACCCACAGACCAAGACCCCCGTAGAAAAACCATATTCGCCAACCTGAAATCCCTAACCCTTGAAAATGGAAATGGTATTCTCTAATAAAACACCTATAATAGGAATAAGGTTAAGGAAGAAGGTAAAACCATAAGGTAGTCATAAGTCATAAGCAATGCCCACTACAGGGTAACTTCATCACGCCTGCGGGGATGTTTCAGCGGTCTTCTCTCAAACGGCATAGTCGAGAACTGCTTGTCGAGACTTAGCCTTTGAGCCGCTCCCTCTGTAGAACATGTCTGCATTTCTTCACGACAATATGAAAGCTGGCCTGGCACTTGCCATATTCTCCGGGATGCCATCAGGATGGCATTGCATGCAGTCCACCCTGGCGTGGCCACGGCTTCAACTTCTGGGCTCGCACATGCATAGAGGGAGAGGGACTTCCGCACTCTCACCACGTGCCGCAGGCTTGCGAGTATCCGGCGCCGGTTTCGGCAACCGTGTAGTGAAGAAGAATGGCCTGTCGGCCTGCAGTGTATTCAGCGGGCAGATGCAGTGTGATTTGCCAGCAGATTTGGGACCAGTTTTGCCGGTCTTAGCGGGCTACGGTCATACCTGTGCAGTGTCCTCAGATGGTCAGCCTCGTCTCTTTGGAAAGATGCCCATTGAGCAGCGTCATGCGCCAGCAGATTTGGGACGAGTTGTTGCAATCTCAGCCGGCTGTTTTCATACCTGTGCAGTGCGGTCAGATGGTCAGCTCGTGTGCTTTGGAAGCAGCTCCGATGGGCAATGTGATGTGCCAGCAGATTTGGGACCAGTTTTGGCAGTCTCAGCGGGCTTCGGTCATACCTGTGCAGTGCGGACAGATGGTCAGCTCGTGTGCTTTGGACGCAACTCCGATGGGCAATGTGATGTGCCAGCAGATTTGGGACGAGTTGTTCCGACAGATGGGTGAGCTCATGTGCTTTGGAAACAACGTCGCTGGGAGTGTGATGTGCCGGCGAATGCCTGACAAGTTTGGCCAGGCTGGTTTTTGCACTTGTGCAGTGTGGGCAGATGATGAGGCCGTTTATAGAGATGGCAATGAGTGTGATAAGCCTCTGCAGAACAAGCGGCAGATCCACGCGAACAAAAGTCCGGAGGCGTCGGAATAATGGTCAAGCAGCCCTGAAACGTTCAGCAGCTCGAATCACAAATACTGCCTAGCATTACCTTCAACTCCAGAATATGTTTGCTCTAACTTGTTTTGAATATTTTCTATTGTATAAACATTCGGTGACCAGTTGCTAACTCTTTCTTTTTCATTTGGTTTTCTCTTCCTAAATATCTGAACTTCGTCCCCTACATCTAGTTCAGGATAAACGCGGTTCTTTTTTCCCTTCATCGTTAAGTTTGTTTTCACTTTGTATTGATTACTGGGTTTTCGGGCTTGTTTTGGCGTAAATCCCGTTGCCGAGTGCTTAATTTGATTATTATAGGTTAGTAATATTTCTAGTATGTAATCTGGCCATTGGCTGTTCTGTTTTCCTTTCTTCTCATCCGCTCAACTCTCCTATACAACATGTCGTTCTATTTTCTCATCCTTCAAATATTTGTGTATTGCTTCCTTGTTCATTGCTCCCTCGTCGTCTGTATAAATTATCTTGGGTTTCTTTCCCATCTTGTTTAAACACTCAGTCATTCCACTTGACAAATCCTCTTCCTTCTTTTCCTTTTATCGGCACGACATACATAAACTTATCAAAAGCAGCAATCATCAAAGCACCTGCGCTAAACTTTTGTTCTTACAAATCCTTTATAAAAAACAAATCCATCTGATATTCATAAGCGGAATGAGGGGCGATAAAGCCTTTTCGACCTACCGGCTTTCTTTTTTGCTCAGCATTTTTTTCCAAAAAATCGCGAATATCGCCCATTGTTATAGTTTTGTCCTTCTCCCGTGCTTCCGCTAGTGTTCTGGATTTACTCCCGAAGCCGGTCATGAATTATTTTCTGTTTCTCACTCATATAAATAAGTAACAAAGTTTCTGGTTTAATATAAACAGTTAAGTCATCATTGTAAAGAATTAGGCATAATCACTTTGCATTCATTCATACCGTATTTGGACGCTCCGCGTTTCTTTCTGCTGGGTTTCTTATCAGAAATGGTTTCGGTAATTTGTGTCGGTGTCAAATCTTCTTTGCTTATATTCGTTTCTTCTATGTACTACTTAAGTTTATTCTTTTGGTTGTGCCTTATGCTTGCTTCGCGCTTCTTCTGCATAAGCTGCTCGTCGTCTTTCCTCTTGTTATAATAAAGCCGTTGATACAAAGCCAGCTGTTGCTTAATCTCGTCCATTGTTATATCCTCGGAACTTTTGAGATGTGTCATTTAACTATACTAAAAATTTATACTGTTTCCTTAAAGGAGTTCCTAAATCTATTACGCAAATCTTTAGAAAAAAACATTTAAGAAGAAACTTAACTTATATAGTACTTATTTTGTATGTGAGCAAAAATATTAAGCGTAACACGAGAGCAATACAAACAACCACTACAAACACACTTCGGCAACTACAAAAATCGCTTAACACAACCGGTCAGAACAAAAATCCAGAATCTAATTAGTTTTTCGTGAAGGCCGTAAAATAGCGCAACCCACCACCGCAGATAATCTAATCAGACAGTTTATCACCGCAAAAACCGACAAACAGAAGACGACGGCAAACAACGCATACGACAAAGTCTACGACAAACACCACGACAAAGAACAACTGGGGCGACGAATGCAGGAAGCAAAAAAAAACGAAAACAAAACGAAATAGCACCAACATTTACACAGTAGATGCACTGTTTTACAGACTGAAGGACGAAAAACATGACAAGGAACTCAAGACAGCGTTTAAAGACAGCAAAGGCAGACCATATGTTATTTGTTGGAAAGAGCCGAAACCCTTAAATGCAAAATCTACTAGTTATATAGAAGACATAGTTAGAAAAAGGGTATTTCGCACCGAGAAGGACACTATGATTATTTTAAAAGAGTTGTTTCAATTGTTACAAACCGACCCAGAAGCGAGGGACGAGTTAGAACAACATAAGGACTACATTGATTGTATGTTATTACTGAGTGTAGAACGCGTTGATGACAATGTCATTTTTGACCCTAAAAGGTAAAAACTAACAAATACCGCTAATGTAAGTATGTATAATATCTACATTTAAACACCTTAAGATCCCGAGTTTGAAACCTTCAAGGAAGCAACACATGCAAAACATTACAAAGAAAACGAGTGTTGGTTTAACACCATAACCGATTGGTATAAGGATACGCTAATGGAAGGGAAAAGAACAGATTAACAAAAAACAGTATGTTAAAACTGATGAATAACACCGAAGATGATTTTAAGACGAACGGGGCATCAATACAAGATATGGTGCCGGTGTTTAAGCAGTACGGCATTCAAGTAAGGGTAGTTAATTCCTTCATCAAGCCCATTGTCAAATATTCACCTACCAAATACAACCACCATATACCAACATCATTATATGCCTTAGCTAAAAACAACCACATCTACACAGCAAACGACAACCTACAGATGTTACGGCAGATGGTGGCAATCCGCGAAAATCAAGATGTATCAGTTAAGGCATCGCCAGATTATCACATAAACGAGAAAGACGAACCCGAACCTACTGAATGTAAGATGATGCAGTCCTTAAACTATCTTAAACAAGTCAGAGACAAAGACGAATACACACTAATTTATGATGGTAATGATTTAGTCCATTAGTTTTGTGAAAGCAAGATGGCGGGCTACGAGCCACACGTGAGATTTACTGGTTGTATCGTTTCCGATTTATACTTTAAACTTCACATTAAGAAGAAGAGCATACGATTCAGGATAAAGACATAAAATTTAGTGACAAGTTCTGTTGATGGAACTATAACAGTAAGAACGGAACAGATTTATAATAATGTGTCTAAAGTCTAAAGCAATGTATGAGTTCAACAAGGCATTGTTGAATCCCTTACACAAATCTCATTATGACAAAGCCGTATACAAGTTCTGAAGAAGTGCCGAACAATACCTCTCGTAGGAGAACTAAATAGCTTCTACAAGGTGTTTAACCAAAGAACAGAAAATCACGAAAATACGCATTCATGACCGAAACAACAACCGAAATAGATGTAATAAAAGCTTGCACCCACGCCTTCAACCAAATTGCCGAAATCCGCGTCCTTAACCAGTTTGATATATGGAACCAGTTTAGTTACAAAGCCCACGATTACAGCAAGTTTCACGAACTGACTTTGTTTTTAGTGAAACCTAAAGAACAAGCGTCATTTTCACAAGACACACTGTTTAGTATATGGTAAGTTGTTAAAGCACTACGCCGATAAATGCGAAATTCTACATTATAAAGAGACTTCTAGAGTGTATAAGGTGAATTACACGAAGCTTATTTAACAACTATGGGCAACCGAAATATCAGACCACTTCCCAGAAGATGCTAAGATCAAGAAGCTTATAGCACATGTAAATATTGGATTGTTAGAGAAGGGCACGCACAAATCTTCTAAAAGCTTTGCCTTTGACAGCCTTCGGGAAGCATTGTATTATCAACAAGAAGTGGGAGGCAAGATTAACA